TCCCCGCAGGGGGGCGCTCTGTCCATGGTACTGACTCGGGCAGTCCCAGAGCAGCAAGGTCAGGTCTGGGAGGGCTGCCTCTCTCACCACCCCTCTCACCCAGCACTGCAAATGGACGCCAGGGCTGCAGAGGCGGCCAAGCGTGGAGCCCAAGATGGGTCAAGGCTGGTGATCTCGACTCAGGTCCTCTGGCCCTGCCTGCACAGGGGGCAATGGTGGGCTCTCTGATTAGCAATCTTGATGTCCCTTTTCATTTGTGAGAGGGAGACTGCGTGGTGCAGGGGGCAGGGCTCCAGGATGGGAGTCAGACCTAGCTGGACAGATGCAGTAACTTACTAGCCATGCTGGGGAGAGAGTTTACCTAAACATCTTGGTTCCCCATCTCCTTATCTTGATTAGGAAAAACAACAGCTGCTTCAAGGACTGTTGCGAACTAATTCACCCATAGTGATGGACAGCTGCCTTCTCTCTCACCTTTTTCCTTTTTAGGTAATTACTAAGACCCTGATGTCACTGTGGCCATTCCTGGTCATTTGATTGATGAGAGTTGTAGGGATCAAGCCCCTTTGAGGCTAAATAACGGGTCAGTGATGGCAGGTTCTCAGCTCTCCTTCCTGTCATTCTGAGGCTGTCTTGGCAGCTGAATGCCGCTTCACACCCTCGAAGGAAGTGAAAGTGAAAGTTGCTCAGTCAGGTCCAGCTCTTTGCGACCCCAGGGACTCTACAGTCCATGGACTTCTCCAGGCCGGAATCCTGGAGTGGGTAGCCTTTCCCTTCTACAGGGATCTTCCCAAGCCAGGTCTCCCGCATTGTAGGTGGATTCTTTACGCCACCAGGGAAGCCCAAGAATACCAGAGTGGGTATCCCTTCTCCAGCGGACCTTCCCGACCCAGGAATCGAACTGGGTCTCCTGCATTGCAGGCAGATTCTTTACCAACTGAGCTATCAGAGGGAAAAGTTTATTTCCTGGCTTAGAGGATGAAACAGAATTCTGTGAGTTCCAATTCACATTATTTATTAATATATCTGGGTCTTATTTTTCCTAATCGGCTGAAAGGAGGCCCTAATTCTGCCTTCACTAGATGTTCTGAATATGCACTGCAGTGAAAGAATATATAAATGCCAAGGAACAAGCTATGCTGGGTGGCAGCACAAACACAGATCCTTGGTGACAAAGGGTTAAGATTTCTACTTGATGAGTTCCTAAATCTTGGCTCAAGGCAGCCAATCTCTCCCATGGTCTCTTTTATCAGGTGGTTTTCTTCTGCCTTTATTCTCCGATATGACATGTTATACAGATGTAACATAGATGTTTAAAGGAAAGGACAGTGGCAGTGAGGGGCTGGAGAGTCAGGATGCATGGGGAATGCACGGGTGATGGACCCCTGGCTTCTTGCTTAGAAAGGTCAGTATGGACACAAAGACAAGGAGCCCAGCCAGACAGGATGGCCTTTAGAGACTCTGGTATACTCCAAGGTCTGGGTCTTTTATGAAGATAATTTGTCACACCACTCCTTTGGAAAAATATAGCCTGTAGCCATCCTCAGAAAGGCATGAAATTATAAACTGGAAATTCTTCCCAGGCTGAAAATCAAGGTAAAAGCACAGAATTTATCCCTGAGGGAGAATCTGCCTCCTCTCTGGGAGAAAACAAATGATCAGAGTTTTGATCTGTGCTGTTACAGCCAGCTGCAAAGTGGGAACTCAGGGAAGGAGGGGTTTCAGAAGACAGCATCCTCTGTGGCCAGTGCTAAGGAGACACCCACACTGGGAGGCTGATGTAATCATTCAAGTGACAGAAGACAAGGGCCTGAGTTCAAGTAATAAAGAGGAAAGGGCAAGGCAGAGAAAGATTTTGTTAAGCAGCAGCAGAGAATTAATGCCTGTAACAATTTGAGGGAAAGAAAAGGAGGACAGACTTTAAGATTTAAGCCTACTGATGTTGCTGGTTTTCAAGGTAGAGAAAAGGGGCCTTGAGTCCAAGAATATGGGCAGTCTCTTGAAAGTGGCAAAAGTCAAGGGAACAGGGCCTACTCTGGTGGTCCGGTGGTTAAGAATCTGCCTTCCAGTGCAGGAGATGCCGGAGAACGCAACAGCATCCCACTCTAGTACTCTTGCCTGGAAAAGCCCATGGAAGGAGGACCCTGGTAGGCTGTGGTCCATGGGGTTGCTGAGAGTCAGACACAACTGAATGACTTCACTTTCACGCATTGGAGAAGGAAATGGCAACCCACTCCAGTATTCTTGCCTGGAGAATCCCAGGGACGGGGGAGCCTGGTGGGCTGCCATCTATGGGGTCGCACAGAGTCAGACACGACTGAAGCAACTTAGCAGCAGCAGCAGCAGGAGATGCAGGTTCAATCTCTGACTAGGGAATTAAGATCCCACATGACTCAGGGCAGCTAAGCCTGTGCCACAACTAGAGAAACCCTTGGGCCACAACAAAGACCCAACACAGCCAAAATAAAATTTAAAAAAAATGTCAAGGGAATAGACTCTTTGAGAACCTTAAGCAGGCAGCACAGGCCTGCCGACACCTTTATTTTAGCCCAGTGTAGTTAAATAAATAAACTAAGGTAAATTTTGAATTTATAGAGTCATAAGATTTTTAAAAAAGGGCTTCCCTGGTGGTTCAGATGGTAAAGAATCGGCCTACAATGCAGGAGACCCAGGTTTGATTCCTGGGTTCGGAAGATCCCCTGGAGAAGGGAATGGCTAACCACTCTAGTAGTCTTGCCTGGGAAATCCCACGGACAGAGGAGTCCATAGGGTCACACAGAGTTGGACATGACTGATAGACTAACACTTTCACTTTCAAGACCAAAAAAAAAAAAAAAAGATTTAAGACTAAACTGTTGAATCTGGAAGGGGGAAAGAAAGGATCCTCCTCTAAAGAATCCAGAAGGAATATGATCCTGCTGCCCACAGGTTGATTTTAGCCTCATAAGATTCTTTTTGGACTTCTGATCTCTAGAACTTCTGATCTCCAGAACTGTAAGACAATAAATTGTGTTTTAACAAAAAACAAATAAACAAAAAAAAGATTTAAGCCTATAATAAATGGATACAATGTCACATTTGATGTGATCACAGAAGGTCTGGGGAGGTGGGTGGGAAGATGATGAATTTGGCTTTGGACCTGTTGAGTTTGACCTCCATAGGCGGCCAAAAAGTAACCAGAAATAGAAACCTGAGGCTCTCCAGAAAGACCTGCTGGTAGGATGAGCTACAGGAAGCTCTGCCTTGTGTTTCTGTGGGGTATCCATCACTAAATGTGATTTTGGAGAGATTTTCCCAGTGAGCATTTGGGGAGATGCCTGCTTCAGCAAACCAAGAAAACACATGTCCTTGGGCCTTCAGTCAGCCCGTCGCCAGGCTGGTTGCACTGGTCTACCTTGGCAGTCCTCTGTGTATCTGGTTCCAGGGAGGGACATCAGCCTGGAGAGATCTGGACGTGTTGGCACGCAGATTCTCGACCGCAAACACTGCAACCAGGCAATCTCATGCTGTCCCAAGCTTTTCTCCAAAGCTTCGTTCCCCAAACCCACAAATAACTCAGCTCATAACAAACACTTGAAAAAATAGCTAATAGGTAACCAGCCCAGTGTTTCTCTTCTTGACTAATGCTGGCAAAAAAAAACCACGAAGAAGAAGGGGGCCAGGTACCTGTCAAGTGTATGGATGCGTTCCCCTCTGATTATGAGTTCATGAACTGCTTAAATGCAAGCAAGTCTCCCTTCATGCTGCCACCCCTCCTGGTGTTACTGTTCCTCTTTGCTTTATAGAATGACTTTTTCATTTATCTGAGAAAATGTAGCCCCCACTAAAGAGAATATGACACAGAAAGTATGCTCATCAGGGATGGAAATGGTGAAGATCAGTTCTGACATGTTCCCAGCTGTTAAACAATTCAAAAAGGCATTAAAAGCGAGTTTACATTTACTCCGTCAGTTGAAATACAGACACATGTTCCCACCTATGAGAGGCACCTTTATCTCTGATTTTGCCTCTCTTGGTATCAGGGTAGCTTTGATTAAAACTGCATTCCTAGTCGTGTTCTTTAGGAAGAACTCAATTGTAATGCAATGGTGTCCTGCTCTTGAATTTCTGTTCACTTATTTTAAAGGCACTGAGTCTATGCCTTGAGTGAAAGGGTTGGTGTGCATTTTAAGACTGAAGCATTTGAACCCAAACACCTCTGCAGCTATGCAGCAGAAATAGCCTGGTGCTCAACAGACAGGGTACTCAGAGAGCTGCTGGGTCTGGGAGCTCAGATTCGGATCTGTTTCACACATGATTTACATCAGTACTTTGCCCTTGAGCCCCTGACATGATCCCCCCTCTGGCTTCACACAACGTTTTGCAAGCCCAAGTGGTAAGTGTGGTTGTCTTCATTAGACTGTTGCAAACATTAAATGTAAGAAGCATATAGTTCTCTGTAGTCACAAAATAAAACTTCTTACACTAAATTAATGGACAGAAAATTCCTACTGTTTCTGAAATATTATTATACCTTAGCTTCCCATACTGGGAAATGCATTTATCTGTGGTTTGTTGCTGAGTTGTAACTATTCCTACCTGGGATAAAGCGCACAGGTTTCAAGAAGCCAAGCGGCACTAGTGGCAGAAAGAAAGAATACACAGACTTTTGATGTGTGGCTTCAAACACCAACAAAGGAATCCCCAGGTTTGTGTTATTCTCAGAGACTCAGTTTCCTTTGAGATATATGCCCTCTTCCCCTCGGCCCCACCCAAAAAGCAAAACCAAAAAGATTTTACCTACATTCAACACAAGCATCCTAGTGCCAGAGCAAAAACATGTATGTCCAAGCCTCACACACTCACGCCCTGTGTTTACATGGAACTCTATACCATGACCTCTACTCCTGGCAGCGAACCAAGATAAACTTGAGTTCCCCTTTCTTTGATTGCTCTACCCTCCTGGGCTTTTCTGACAAAGGGGGAAAAAAAGCAAAAGGGTGGATACCCAATGTTCGTACCTGACACAAAAGTATAAAACCACTGGTCCCGACTTTTTGGGGAAGTCATGTTCCAAGACTCTTCGATCTAGCTGAAGCCAGTTCAAGTGTCCCCTGTGGAAAAGAGAGACCAGTGGATTAGACCTTTGGGTTTTGCCAAAGTTGCTTGGGATGAAGGTCTGTGTCTGTATATATGGTACATGCTGGAGCACAGATAAACGTGGACCTCTGCTTCACTCTTCACTCTTAAGTTCTATAATTTGCAGACACCAAAGGAAATATTGGAGAAATATTGCATCAGCAGGAGATACCGTGTAACAATCAAAGTTGGGGATTTGAGACCCGCAGTCCATTTCCTCGATAGCACTGCAATGAAAAGGCAAACAGTCTCTCTCTTTTTTTTTTCTGTCCTGAATTCCCTGACCACCACAGGGAAGAAAGACAGTCTTTTCTGTCATAGGCCTTCAAACACACTTTAGAAACATGTTAGCAATCTTCAGCATATCTTGCTGGAAGCAGATGGGGTACAAAGTGAATCAGAGACAATTTCTTTAAAAATGACGCATACACCTAGCACATGACCCAGCCTCTCCACTCCTAGGAATTTACCCAAGAGAAATGAAAGCAGACTTCCATACAATGACTTTCACACACAGATGTTCATGTTATTTGTAATAGCTCGAAACTTGAAACAACCCCAATGCTGATCACAGGGGAATGGAACAATTACGATATAGAAAGGAATACTACCCAGTGACAAAGACAATGAGCTATTAATACACAGAGCAACAAAGATGAATCTCAAAATAATTATCCTGAGTGGGAGAAGCCAGACAAACAGAGTACAGATTGTATGATACCATTTATAGAAAACTCTAGAAAGTAAAAACTAGTCTGCGGCAACAGAAAGCAGATTGGTGGTTGCCAGGGGTGCGTGATGGGGGGACAGTGTGTGTGTATGTGGTGGGGGACAAGCAAACCTTTGGGTGTGATGAAGATGTTCATTATCTTGAAGGTGGTGATGGTTTCTTGAGTGCAGACATATCAACACTTAGGAAATTGTAAACTTTAATTGTGTAGTTTACTGCATTTCAATTTTACCTCATTAAAGCTATTTTAAACAGTGAACGATGGAAATACTTGATGAAATGCAAATGGGGTCACTTCTGCATTTATTTTTTCCTTCCCTTCCTCCCTCCATTAATATTAATTGATCATCTTCTCTGGATAAGGATCTAGAGATGTAGCAGTAAGCAAAATTAACACAGTCCCTTTACCCCTGATGCTTATATTCTTGTCAGGAGACAGGAACTCAGCAATTATTTTCACAATTAATTCTGCAATTACTAATAGTATTAGGACCTGTAAGGACCCAATCTAGTCTGGGGGTCCAAGAAATGCTGCTTGATGTTTGATTGAGATTTGAAGAATGATGGGAGGAAAGCAAAGAGGAAGAGGAAATAACATTCCAAGCAGCAAGGCCAGCATGTGCAAAGGCCCTGAGGTGGAGAGAAAAACCTGGCACCATGGTATTATGTGAACAGAAAGGGATGAGGCTAGAGAGTGGGGACCAGGGTCTTGGTGACAAGTTGAGGAGCTTGGTCTTTGAAGAGCAAGACAGAATCACAGAACAAGGGTGAGCAAAGGGATCCACCTTGTCCCTTTCCTCTCCTTTCCTTCCGCAGTCTCAGCCCATCATTCAGAAGGGCTCAGAGTCCCATCATCTCTGTGACTCTGTAAGCCCATGCTGAACAGACACTATTGCACAACATTTCTTCGGGGCCTGATGCTGTGTAACACTGGTGTTTATAACGTATACACCCATGTGAAAGGCTGTGCTTACTGAACAAAAGGTGTTGCATCATTGTATTAAAAGGTTTGCTCCTCCAAGCCTCCAAAGAATGAAAGCTGGAGGCTTTCCATCTCCATTTTGAGATGTCTTTCAAACCACACCTTCTGCACACAAAAATAAACAAACCCCTCTTTCAACTAAGCCCAAGCCCATGGCTCCAGAGATGAGGATGAGGGCTGCCTCAAAAGAGTGTCCATTGGAGGAACTCTGGCCTCTTTATCCTCTAGGCATTTTCATCTAGACAAAACATTTTTTTAAAATTAATTTTATCTTTCATGTTTAAAGCAGTTTCTCAATTCTGAGTATAAGGGTTAAAAAAAAAAAGAATGGAAAAAAGTTCTCTGTGCAAAACAATTGGACCAGCATCTTCCAGAAAGGCAGGATAAATTTTTCTTCGAAAGAACATGGGGTCTGGAAACAGAAGGCCTCAATGCCACCACTGTCTCTGGTCAGACCTGAAATGTTGACAATGCCCTGTGGGGATCATGTTGTTTTAAACCTCTGTGCCTTAACTCATGCTGTTCGCTCTGCCTAGAATGCCCTTCTTCCTCTTCACTGCCCAGTGAAGTCTGGCCCATCCTTCAAGACACAGCTCTCCTGTGCCTCCTCTGGGAAGGCTTCCCTGGTACCCCTTCCTCACACCACACACCAGTCCGGGCTGTGAGTCCTCCTGTGGACTCTCAGCACCCATCCTGGGCACAGCTCTGCTGCTGCCCTTCGCGAAGTCCATGGAACTTACTCTGTGTACACACTTTTCCTCAACAGACTTTCTACATACAAAAAACACAGATCTACTCCCTCAGGTAACAGCGTGTGCATTTTTGATTAACTGGAAGGTAAGACAAACAGACCTCATTATCAAGGTGTAATAACCCACAGTCTCCCCCCACCCCCACTTCAGCCTCTGAAAATGTCAAAAATCTTCCAGGATCCTCTCTTTGTGCTCAGCTCCTGCAAACATGTCATATGCACGCTCACCCCAGGACTTCGATCATTTGGTTTCTCTTCCTTGGAACATTCTCTCCATCCTCTTTATCTGAATGCTAGCCACTATTCAAGGCCAAGTTCAAATCTTACTTTTAGTGAAGTCTTCTGAGTGCCTAAGTCTGGGTTTTCCTTCCAATGTCTCCAGAGGTTCTGGTTTGTGTCATCTGCAGGGCATTTAACATAGCCTAGTGCAATTAGTTATTTAAAAAATAGGACCTGTTTCTACAGCTCAGTTGTAAGATTTCAACATTAAAACAGAATCATCCCTAGAACACAGTATAGCACTTGGCAAATATTACAGACGCCAAAGTGCTTGCTCACTGGTTAGATGACTACCTCTTAAAGAAGCTGAGGTGTGCCCTGATCTTAACTTACAAAAGTGACCGAGAGACAACCATGAGAGGTCAAGGCCACTGAAGGGAAAGTTTAATGTTCCTCATGGTTTCCTGGAAATGAGAGGCACCCACCCCATACAGGGTCATGAGAAGAAGCTCCAGTGTTGTTCATGAGGCAGAAAGGAATATGGGGAGGACACAGGAAGAGACTTCACTGGGGTTTTCATGGAAAAGGCATGGGGGACAGCTTAGGACTGGCTAGCCTGAACAGTTCTGGTGGACCTTGAGTCTTAAGAGCTATCCCTGGTTCTCTGGTAATTGGCTCTGGGGTGATTAAGGATGGGAGGGGGAGTACTGGCTTGGGGTTTGGGAGCTGCTTAAAGGAGGTGGTTCAGAGTGTGGCCTCAGGGTCACAGAACTTTGGCTGTTAGTTTGGGATGGAATGGAAACAACTTTAGCTGTTAGTTTGGCCCTGTAATTAATGATCCCAAATAAATACAGAATTGATAAAAACTCAGAATAGAAATTCATCCAATGACTGTGCAGGTTTAAACTTTAATCTTTTGCCTTGCAATAACTCCTGATAAAGAATCTGGTGAGACTAACCTTTTCCAGAATCTTTCAAGAGAGAGACTAGAATGGTGCACAGCAGTTTTCCTATGGTCCCAAATGCAAGGAATAGGGAGGAATCGAGATGGAACGTTCTACCTGTGCCCTGAGGATCCATCAATGGGTCAGGCTTGAGAAATTCTCATTCCACCCAAGGGCACAACATTTCTAACCACTCAAAGTGCTGGGGATTTGACCTGGGGGCCATAATTCACTTGGTGGAGAACCTGAAAGTGGGAACCCTTTGAAGAAATACAGACATGGTTGTTACTAGGGTACTACTCTACGGGGTTTGCTCATTGCCCATCTTCTTCATCCATTTTAATGGAGAACAAACAGGTAGATGGGTCCCATTTCCTTAGGTAATTTCATTGCCCACACTAAACTTTTTTTTAAAAGAACATTAAAGGGACAAATTCCTTGGTTCCCAGCCATGTATTAGTTCAGCACTGATCAAACCATGAAATGACTAGATTAAGAAAATGGTCAAAAAGCAGAAAGAACAAGGCCAGAATTCCCCCGTAACTGAATAGTTGGCCTTGGAAGGAAAATGAACTTCCTCCCCCTACTTCCTCTACTCAGATTCCTCAACCCCAGTTCTGCAAGGAATAATATAGCACACACACGCGCTCGCGCGCGCACACACACACACACACACACGCACACACACAAGCACACACACGCACATGCACACACACATACACAGACACACACGCACACACGCACACATACACACACACGCACACACACACACACACGCACACACACACACACAAGCAGGGTTCTGAAATCCTTGGGGAGGGCTCTTCCTGCACCTGGAGTCCTGCGACCCTTCCACTTTATGTGCCTGTAAAATCTCTCCACTACAAAGGTGCTACAAAAGGAAAGACTGAGGCACCAGTGACCCACCCTGGGTCCCTGAGGATAACTGCCCAATATCTGGGCAAAAGCTAAGGGATGGGTTAAAAAGGAAACTGGAAATCCCGTTTCTGAGGCCACCACTTTCCATGCATTAAAATAATTTCTGCTGATAGGGTTGGGTTCAAGGTCACATTTCCTACACCCAACAGTATCAAGGATTCTTCACTGTCCGTGATTTATTTTTCCTTGCATAACACCTCTCGTTCCCAACATCAGGTCTCTTCCTCAAACCTTGTTTTTCTTTTCTTTAAGCTAAAGGTAGGATGGGAAGCAAAGAGCAGAAGAAGCATTTTTTCTATACAGTTTAACTAAGAGATGCCTGATAGCTTGGGTTTCATTATCTCATTGATTTTTCATTTGAGAATTCACATCAGTACATTGGCCTATAACAAAGCAAAAAAAAAGTCCTA